CTCCCCTCAGACTCTGACAACCACCATCTATTTTCCTTCTGAATTAGGCTACTATAGGTACCTCACATAAGTGTAATCATACAGTATTTTTCTTTTTGTGACTGGCTTATTTCACTTAGCATAATATCCCCAGATTCATCCATGTTGTAGCATGTGTCAGAATTTCCTTCCTAAAGAGACTGAATTAAATTCCATTGTATGGGGCCGGCCCCGTGGCTTAGCGGTTAAGTGCGCATGCTCCGCTACTGGTGGCCCGGAGTTTGGATCCCAGGTGCACACCGAGGCACCGCTTCTCCAGCCATGCTGAGGCTGCGTCCCACATACAGCAACTAGAAGGATGTGCAACTATGACATACAACTATCTACTGGGGCTTTGGGGAAAAGAAAAGGAGGAGGATTTGCAATAGATGTTAGCTCAGAGCCGGTCTTCCTCAGCAAAAAGAGGAAGATTAGCATGGATGTTAGCTCAGGGCTGATCTTCCTCACCAAAAAAAAAAAAAAAAATTCCATTGTATGTATATACCACATTTTGTTTATCCACGTGTGAATGGATACATGGGTTGCTTCCACCTTTTGGCTATTGTGAATAATGCTGCTATGAAGGATATACAAATGTATCTTTGAGACCCTCTTTGAATTCTTTTGGGTGTATACCCAGAAGTGGAATTGCTGGATCATATGGTAATTTTAAGTGTAATTTTTTTAGGAACTACCATACTGTTTTCCATAGCAGTTGTACCATTTTACATTTCCACCAACACTGTACAATGGCTCCAGTGTCTCCATTCCTTGCCAACTGTTGTTATTTTCTGTTTTTTGGGTTTTTTGTTTGTTTGTTTTTGTGTGTGAGGAAGATCAGCCCTGAGCTAACATCTGATGCCAATCCTCCTCTTTTTGCTGAGGAAGATTGGCCCTGGGCTAATATCCGTGCCCATCTTCCTCCACTTTACATGGGACACTGCCATAGCATGGCTTGACAAGTGGTGCATCGGTGCGCACCTGGGATCCAAACCTGCGAACCCCGGGCTGCCGAAGCAGAGCGTGTGCAACTTAACCGCTGCCCCACTGGGCTGGCCCGTTTTTCTGGTTTTTTTAATAGTAGCCATCCTAATAGGTGTAAGGTGGTATCTCATTGTAGTTTTGATTTGCATGTCCCTAATTAGTGATGTTGAGCATCTTTGCATGTGCTTGTTGGCCATTTGTATTTCTTCTTTGGAGAAATATCTATTTAAGTCCTTTGCCTTTTTTTTTTTTTTTTGAGGAGGATCGGCCCTGAGCTAACATCTGCCAATCCTCCTCTTTTTGCTGAGGAAGACTGGCCCTGGGCTAACATCCGTGCCCATCTTCCTCCACTTTATATGGGACGCTGCCACAGCATGGCTTGCCAAGCGATGCGTTGGTGCACACCCGGGATCCCAACCGGCCAAACCCGGGCCGCCGCAGCGGAGCGCGCACGCTTAACGGCTTGCACCACTGGGCCAGCCCTGTCCTTTGCCTATTTTTTAATCAGGTTTGTTTTTCCAAAATGTATCTTAATTTTATTTATTTATTTATTTTTTTCCCCCAAAGCCCCAGTAGGTAGTTCTATGTCATAGCTGCACATCCTTCTAGTTGCTGTATGTGGGACGCGGCCTCAGCATGGCCAGAGAAGCAGTGGGTCAGTGCTCGCTGGGTATCCGAACCCGGGCCGCCAGCAGCGGAGCATGCACACTCCACCGCTAAGCCACGGGGCCAGCCCTAAAAATGTATCTTGAATGATTATTTTTTTCTACCACCATTTTCGCCATCCAAGCCCCTGTTGTCTTTCATGTGGACAATTGTAGTACTTCTTAGCTGGATCCCCTAATTCCACTCATCTCTTTCCTTTTCATTTTACTACAATGTAACCGGAGTGATCTTCTGAAAATATTAATTCTAACATGTCACTTACCTGCTCAGAATTCTCTAATGGTATTCCATTGCTCTTAAGAAAAAAATCCATGAGTCATGGTCCCTTATGATCTAGACTATGCCAACTTCACTTTCCTTACCTCTTATTATACTCCCCTTTGATTACTATTTTCAGATACATTAGCCTTCTTTTAGTTCCTGGAATATGCCAAGCTCTTCCTCCTTAAAGCCTTCACACATATTATTCCCTGTACCTGAAACACTCCCCACCCCCTACTCTGCTCATTTATCTTATGGGTCATAATTTAAATTTCACTTCCCCATAGAAGGCCTTAACCTCCTTCCCTGATCTAAATGAGGCCCCCCGTTATAGTATCCTGTCATAACACACTTCCTTAATTTCACCTATCAATATTTATAAATACATATTTATTTTTGGGTTATTTATTACACATCTCTCCGCTATATTGTAAACTTTATGAGAGCAGGGACAAGTCTATTTTTCCAACACTATATCCCCAGGCCAAACAGAATCTGACACTTAGAAGGTGCTCAATATTTGTTGATTGAATGAATAAATGATGAATGAATACCATAGATATGAAGAATACTTAGAAATCTTAATATGTACAACTTTATACTAATAAATTTGAAATTTTAAATTAGGTGATTTTGCCAAAAAATATTAATTATTGAAATTAATTCAGATTTATGTGGCACTGAAAAACATAGCAGAGGTATATTTATAAGATAAACACAAATTATCTTTATTTGCAGGTAGCATGATTGTTTGGAGAATGAACTATGAAACTATTAGATCTAACAAGATAATCCAGTAAAGTATCCTATTACATGATAAATATACAAAAATTATTAGCTTTCATTACATCATCAGTAAGCAATTTAAAAATCCCATAAAAAAATACCTTATCTCAAAAGCAATGAAAATATATTGTACTTAGGCATAAATTTAATTAGATCTATACAGGACACAAACTATGAAAACTTGACTGGGAAACCTAAAACAAAAAGACTCTACTAAATTGAAAGACACCCATGTTCGTGGATGGGAAGACTCAATATTTTTAAATGTCAATTATGCCCCCAATTCATTTGTACATTTTACAATGGAATTTCTGGCGACCTTGATAAAGGATTTCTGAAGTTAATGTGGAAGAATTGATGTGTGAGAAAAGCCAATAAATTTTAGAAAAGGTAATCAAGGAAGAATGTATTAATACAATGAACAACTGGAAAAGGAATTGGCAGTCTGATCAATGGAACAAAATGTGAAGTCCAGAAAAGCCCTAAGCATTAATAGAAATTTAATATTTGATAAACATGGCATTTCAGAAGAAAAAGATGATTCAGTCAGTAAATGGTTTGCTAAAGATTCACAAAATAAGTTGGCCAATAAATATATAGAAAAAGTTTTCAAGCACTAGTAATTAAATGTAAATTCAAACTACTAGACATATTTCGTTGAAGTGACAGATAAAAATGATGCAGCAAGGGTAAAGGAAAATGTGCATTCCTTATGGTAAAGAAAAATGGGCATTCCTTGGAAACTGCTTTTGGCAGTGTATACTGATATAATCTACAACTCTTCTAGAGATCAGTTTGGCTGTGGGTATCAAATGTCTTAGAAGTGTGCCTTTTGATGCAAAATGCCTTTTGGAGGAATCTACCCAAAGCATGTATGGAGATACACAAAGAACTTACAACAATGCTGTTGATTACATCATTCTTTATTATGGCTCCCCGCCCCCAAAAAAGAAAATCTAAATGTTCAACACTGGAGTTATGTAAAACTATGGTATTTTTAAAAAGAAGTACTATTAAGCCATTTTAAAAGTTGGATAATATCTATTGATAAGCAAAGATTCATAGATATTTATAATATTGTCTGAAAAAAGCAAGTTATGAAACCTATCAAAAAAGTTTGGTCTGCATATATATGTGGGCCTGTAAAGATATAACACCAGAGCTTAGATAGCAATTGTCCTTGGGGAGGAAACATTAAATTCTGTTTTTCTATTGAACATGCGTTACTTTTGTTAATAAGGAAAAATAATGAGAAACTTCATGTTTATTTTTTTTTTAGTTTTTTGTGAGGAAGATCAGCCCTGAGCTAACATCTGCCAATCCTCCTCTTTTTTTGCTGAGGAAGACTGGCCCTGGGCTAACATCCGTGCCCATCTTCCTCCACTTTATGTGGGATGCTGCCACAGCATGGCTTGACAAGCAGCGCGTGGGGCAAGAACTGGCGAACCCCAGGCCGCCGCAGTGGAGCACGTGCACTTAACCGCTTGAGCCACCGGCCCGGCCCCAAGAAACTTCATGTTTCAATGCTACAATAAAAAGTGAAAAATGGAAGCATAATGCAGTTATTGAAAATTATAATTACAAAAACTTTGAAGAAACTGAGCCAAATGGAGTAAGAATAAACAAAACGTTTGCTTTGATTTTAACTGTCATAGAATGTATGTATACCGAAAAAACAGAGGGAAATATAGAAAATGAACATAATTTACTAAAATGATAGGATTGAAGGCAATTTTTTCTCCTTGTTAAATAATTTTTAAAATAAAAATTTCTAGATTTTTGAATCCAGTTCATTCAAGCTTCACAACAATGATGAAAAGGTAGAGACCAGTGGTAGTGCTGCCAAGAGATGGATGGTATAAGTGACAGGTGAGCTTTAAACCTTCCGTAATCACCACCGGTTACTTCCTATAAAGCTTCACCAGAGAAAAATTTGTATTTACTAAGAAACTCAGCTTCAAGACAAGTTCCCTTCTCTGCACAGATTCTGGAGTCCCAATAATGGAGACAGTTCCCACATTAACACCACAAGCCCCAGGTCTATTTTCCTGTGTTATGCATTTTCCTTTTTTTAAAGATTTTATTTTTTTAGAGCAGTTTAAGGTTCACAGCAAAATTGATGGGAAGGTACAGAGATTTCCCATATGCCCCCTGCCCCAATACATGCATAGCCTTCTCCATTATCATCATCCCCCACCAGAGTGGTACATTTGTCACAACTGAACCTACATTGACATATCATTACCACTCAAAGGCCATAGTTTACATTATGGTTTACTCTTGGTGTTATACATTCTATGGGTCTGTTATGCATTTTCAAAATCTTTTCATTAAACACATTGTCTCAGGCTTTGCCTTGACCCACTTCTTATTCCTGGGTTTCAGAACCATGTGTGCTCAGTACTGCATCTCCTTTGCTGATGTTGAAAAAGCTCATATCAACATTCGAGATTTTATCCACCTTACACCAATGCTAACAAGCTCCATTTTGAATCAAGTAACAGGGCGCAATCTTTTCTTCAAATGTGAACACTTCCAGAAAACTGGATCTTTTAAGGTAACAATGCCTTTTGATAGTATATCATGTATCTTTTCAAACCCCTTTCACATACAAATTTATTTGATCTTCCTGACCGCCCAGTGGGGTAGGTAGATTAATGTCTTTTTATAGCTGAAGGAGTTGTAGAAATTTTCCTTTGATCAAGTCCTGGTTACTTCGCATTCTGGTGTTGACGAGCCCCTTTTACACAATCTCAAAATTCCTTATAATTAGAGTGATCATATAATTTACTGTCCAAACTAGGACATGTTTGAGAATAAAAGGGGGAATGTTTAATGATTAAACTGAGACAATAGACATCAACCTGGACTGTTGCAAGGCAAAATGAGCGAGTGTGATCACCCTGTATATAACAAAATTTAAGCATTCACTTTGTGTCAACTTGCTATTCATTGATAACTTATTATGAATATAAAAGATCTAAACCAAGCTAAACCCTCATATAATAAGATCTTTTTCTACAAAATATGTCAGTGCCTTGCCTATGCATAGACTTTTCTGTGCATTGATTCATTACCAGAATTTTCTGACCATTAGTTGAGCTTTAAGATCCTTCCAGGTAAAAATCTGAAAGCTGCACTTTGTACTGTGCCAGATAGGCATTAGTACCTAAGTGATAGGGCCGGCCCCGTGGCTTAGCGGTTAAGTGTGCGCACTCCGCTACTGGAGGCCTGGGTTCGGATCCCGGGCGCACACCGACGCACCGCTTCTCCGGCCATGGTGAGGCCGCGTCCCACATACAGCAACTAAGAAGGATGTGCAACTATGACATACAACTATCTACTGGGGTTTTGGGGGAAAAGAAAAAAGGAGGAGGATTGGCAATAGATGTTAGCTCAGAGCCGGTCTTCCTCAGCAAAAAGAGGATTGGCATGGATGTTAGCTTAGGGCTGATCTTCCTCACACACACACAAAAAGTACCTAAGTGATAGCTTTAGGACTTCAAGAATCTACCTTTTCCCCAGCCTATTAACTGAGAGCTTTTATATTTAAAAAACAAAACAAAACAAAAAACCCCATTCTCTTTTGCCCTTTGCTTCTGCCATGGTTTATTCTTCATTCATCACACATCAAGCATTTATTTTCACTAACTATACTAGGCATATATACAGTAGGCCTTGCCCTATTATCCACACTTGCAGGGGAAAACAAGCTGGTTTTCAACAAAACAACAAATAGGTTGATGAGAAGTGTCGTAAGAGAGTTATAAACTGCCTTGGAAGAACAGAGAATAAAGTGCCTAATTTTGCCTGGTAGATCAAGGAAATTGAACCAGGTGATGTTTGACCCAAGTTTTACAGGGTGAGTGCTTTTAGCCAGATCAGGGAGTGGGGGAAAAGAACTACAGGTAGAGGTACCAGCATGCTCAGCAGTACAGTAGTGTGAGCTAAACTGGTAAGAGGGAATCCAGAAGCAATTTAGGATGGCTACAACAATAATAGAGGCAGTAAATGTGTTTCAGAAAGGCTGTAACTTGTAGGGAATTTGTACTTTTCTTACAAAAATAGGCAGTCAATGAAAAAGGTAACATTTGTTATTAAGAGATCACTTTCATAATCTAGCGGAAATATTAGATGAGAATGATCCTTGAAAGAGGATCAATTGAAGTTTGATATTACACAAGTTGAGAAATGAAGCCTCATCAAGGTAGTGGCAAAGACACACATGAGATATTTAGGAGTTAGAATCAATAAGATTTAGTGATGGACTGGATGTGCAGTGTTAGGAAGAGAAAATCTAGAAAAGCTGTTTGGTTTTTTGAAAAGAAACCTTTTAATCAAATACATGAATTCATCATCCCTCTTTTCCAGATTCGTGGTGCCCTTAATGCAATCAAAAGCTTGATTCCTGCCACTTCAGAAGAGAAGCCCAAAGCTGTTGTTACTCACAGCAGTGGAAACCATGGCCAGGCTCTCGCCTATGCTGCCAAATTGGAAGGTGCTTGATTAATTTCTCAGGGTACCGGGTAGGATCATCAGAGAGGCATGGAAAAGCATCCTTACTTTCAGTGAGATTGGTCATAGCTGTGGGAAGTAAATTCTCCAGTCCGTATCTGATTACAAGCAAACTGAACAGAATTTTCTATCCTCACTTCTCCTTATTCGTACTAACTAAACCTGTTTCCCCCTCCCAGGGATTCCTGCTTATATTGTGGTGCCCCAAACAGCTCCCAACTGTAAAAAACTGGCAATACAAGCCTATGGAGCCTCTATAGTGTACAGTGAACAGAGTGATGAGGTAAGGAAGAGAGCAATGTTCAGTACCTTAACAGCTTTCACTGTCAAATTGAACTTCTCTTCCTACTTTATTGCCTGCTCCTTCTCCGTCTCCATTGTTTCCTCTTCATCTCTAAATGTTAGCATGCCCAACCTTTCCATTAGCTACGCACACTCAGATGATCTCATTAGTCTGTTTAAAATTATCACCTATACTCTAACTCCAGGCCTGACCTTTGCCCTTAACCCAAATTTGTATATCCTAGGCTACCTGATATTTCCAGTTGGATGTCTTAATAGGTATCTCAAACTCACTATGTCTAAAACCAAACTCCTGATCTTACTCCCACAATACTGTTCCTCTTCCAGTCTTCCCCATCTCAGTGAATGGCAACTTTTATCCTCCTAGCTACCCAAAAAACTGTTGGAGTCATCTTTGATAACTCTCTTACACCCCACCTCCAAATCTTAGTCCTACTTTCAAAATATTTCTATAATCCAACTACTTCTAACAGCCTCTACCACTACCACCCTAATCCAAACCAACATCAGTTCTCACCTAGATTCAGCAGCCTCCTAACTGGTCTCTCTGCTTCCACTCTTGCCCCACTAGTCTGTTTTCAAAAAAGCAACCAGAGCCATCCATTAAGTTAGAACTTGTCTCTCATCAGCTCAAAATCCTCCAATGGTTTCCCATCTCATACACAATGGAAACCAAAGTTCTTACAATCATCTAAGGCCTGGATGAACTGGCCCATTCCTATCTTTCTGACTCCATCTCCCACTATTACTTTCCCCCAAACACTCCAAGCCAACCACACTAACTTGGCAGTTTCTGAAAGAGGCCAAGCACTCTTACTTCATAGTCTTTGCACTTGCTATTACTCTTTATCCCTGAAATATTCTGGAGATCCACAGGACTTGTTCAAATCTATTAAAATACCACTTTACCAGAGGCCCTTCCTAAACACCCTATATATAAAATAAATTCATTTTTCTCCATAGCACTTAGACATACCATATATTTACTTATATCCCACTCCTCCCCACCATATTAAAACATAACTCCCTTGAGCACAGACACTGTTTAGTTCAGTTATATCCTAAGTGCCTGAACAAAGTCTGAAAAAAGTAGATGGTCAATAAAGTGTTAAATGATTGACTCTAACTTGTTGGGAACTCTATTAAATACAAATCAAGTAAGCTAAATTAATGCACTCTTTCAGTCCAGACAAAATGTTACAAAAAGAATTATGGAAGAAACAGAAGGCATCATGGTACATCCCAACCAGGAGCCTGCAGTGATAGCTGGGCAAGGGACAATTGCCATGGAAGTGCTGAACCAGGTAAAAGCCTAGTCTTGTTTAGCTACTGGTAAAGCTGATGTTTCGCTGTAGAATCAATTATTTTATATGTACATATAAAACTGGTTATTTACTTTTTTTTTTGGTGAGGAAGATTGAGCTAACATCTGTAGCCAATCCTCTTTTTGCCGAGGAAGATTGGCCCTGGGCTAACATCCGTGCCCATCTTCCTCTACGTTATACATGGGATGCTGCCACAGCATGGCTTCATAAGCAGTGTGTAGGTCCACGCCTGGGATCTGAACCTGCGAACCCTAGGCTGCCGAAGCAGAGCGCATGAACTTAACCACTACGCCACCAGGCCAGCCCCTAAAACTGGTTATTAACAGACCTAATTATACTTTATATTCTTTTCACTCAAGGTTCCCTTAGTAGATGCACTGGTGGTACCTGTAGGAGGAGGAGGAATGGTTGCTGGAATAGCAATTACAGTCAAGGTAAGAAACAGCTTCTGGAGGACTCTGCACTTCAGGCATAGAGTATTTTATTTTACATCATAGTACATTGTGGATACTTGCTCAACATTCCCCCCAAATTGCCATTCATTCCCATCATCCCTTGGCACTTGAGCTGGACGGTCCTTCTCTGCCTCACTACCCTTTTCTTAATCCATGACAACTTTACAGCACAAAAGCAGTTACAACGAGTGGCACGCTCACAGCCCTCGCCCTGAATTCCATCTCACCAACCTACTATCCAAGTACGGAGCTACTCTTTTCCCCAGTTACCAGGACAACCAGATGTGATCTAGGCAACTGAAAGCCAGTAAAGGCATACAATTTAAAGTGCCTGAAGGTCATATTTTCATTATATCTATCAAAGGGAAGGCTTTTACTTGGGCAATGTGTTACCTGTACCACCTATTTTACTACAGGCATGCAGGCAAAATGCTGTGGCTAGTTGTAAGATGTCTAATATTCCTCTTCCCAGGCTCTGAGACCTAGTGTGAAGGTATATGCTGCTGAACCCTTGAATGCAGATGACTGCTACCAGTCCAAACTGAAAGGGGAACTGACCCCCAATCCCTATCCTCCAGAAACCATAGCAGATGGTGTCAAAACCAGCATTGGCTTAAACACCTGGCCTATTATAAGGGACCTCGTGGATGATGTCTTCACTGTCACAGAGGATGAAATTAAGGTAAGGCTCCAACGGGAAAGGAAATAAAAGAACAGAGCAACTTCTTAGGCAAAAGAAACTTCTGTTGTTAGTAGCAACTCACCCACTGGGGACTTGACTAGATGACTTTATGACATGTGGCAGGGTGCCCTAGATGTATTAAGACAACCCTCTTGACAGTAGAAGCAGAATTAGGATAAAAAAAAACCCTGCCCTTCATTGGCAAGCACATACATATAGCAATTAAGAAAATTCAGGCTGAGTGTATATCCTCATCTGGTCTTTAATTTTAAAGGCCAACCAACTAGGCTCTTTCCCCTTCTCCCATTTCACTAAGTCTTACTTCCTTCTGTACCAACAGTATGCAACCCAGCTGGTATGGGAGAGGATGAAACTGCTTATTGAACCTACAGCTGGTGTTGGAGTGGCTGCTGTGCTGTCTCAGCATTTTCAAACAGTTTCCCCAGAAGTAAAGAACATTTGTATTGTGCTTAGTGGTGGAAATGTAGACATAACCTCCCTAACTTGGGTGAAGCAGGCTGCAAGGCCAGCTCCTTATCAATCTGTTTCTGTTTAATTTATGCAAAATGAAGAGATGGGATTCAGTGTCTCTAGACAATTGGAAATTTTGTTTCCTAGTCACTGTCAACCTCCGATCTCCCCCTCTTAAACAGCTTTCAAAATCCTAACAGAGAGTGGATATTTCAGTAAGATTTAATAATTTTTTGGATTAAGCAGCAATAGAAAAACATTCATACTTAACTGAAGACACCTTATCAAGGCCAAGAAAAGCCTTCAGCAAAAAAGAGCAGGAGCCCTCTAGGCTCAAATAGAAAACACAAACTTTGCCCATTCACAACCTGTAGGCTTCCATCCCTAGAGTGCTAACTAGTAGCGATAAGACAGAATCCCACTGAACCCATTATTCCATGTCCGCTTCAGGCACTCCTGAAGAAATCTCACTTTTCACCCAAGGTACTGGTTCTGGTACATATGGATCATAAGTCCATTTGGGGAAAACTCGTTTATAGAGGTTCATCAGTACTGTATCCTGAGATTTTAGCTTCCCATCAAAACTGCACTTCATGTGGCCATGAGTACCTAGAAAGAAAACAGAGCAAGCTGGTCAAATTAAAATAGAAAATTTTAAAGCAGTGGTCTTCTAAACCAATTGTCATTTAGTAGCACTGGGGAAATCTAGGCAAGGTCCCAAATCCCACATTCTCTTACCTAAAGGCTCCTTGATGTGTCCCCTGCGCCCCCACTTTGTCCTCAGTTCCACTGGTTTAAACCACAGCACATCCTCTTAGAATGAAACACATAGAAGACCAAGATGAAACATTTACCCACAAAATGTAAACTCAACCTTCACCCCACAAAGGCAATCAGATCCCATCCTTCATACCTACCTCTATTGAAGAACATGTAGCGTACTACTGCCATCTTAGTAAAAATTTTGAAAGGATGACCACTCAGAACAACTCTCTTGATGACCATTCTGTCCGGATCCACTGACAATAGATGGCCTGTGGCGATAAGACTGTGCATTCCTAAGGGGCAAAAGCAGAGCAGCTGTTCAGGAGTCTACAGGCCAAAGCCTTCATTTATTGCTCCAGCCCATTTAAAGACCTATGAAAGATCTTAGTGAAACCTTAAAATAGGGATGTACTAGGCTGCCCTCCTGGGTCCATGGCAAAGATCATTAAATGATATTCCTGCTGAACCTGTCCCCAGAATCTATCCTAAATATAGCACTCTGAGCAGCCTCTACCGATTAGCTAAGGTTTGTAAGCAAGATAAAACCCCATTTGTCATTCCTGCCTTAGACCCACTGCAAGGCTGAGATAGGGCTATTTTGAAAACCATCATTATCTTTTTCATACCATTTGGTATGGTATGAAATCTAAATACAGAAAACAGTGTTAAACCCATTAAGGACCTACAGGTCTACTCACCTCTGAACTCAACTTACCATTGCTATTCTGTTTGAAAAGCAGCACAGATGCAGGAGGAAAAGTAATTGGGGCATATACTGTCACCACCAGGGCCACATCAGCAGTCAGGAATCTCTGAAATTTATGTTTATCCGCTGCCAAAATAAGGATTAAAAAATAAAAACCAAAACATTTTGAGAAACCATAGGTAATCCAGAGGCCTGTGAAAGCTGCATCACTGCAACTATTAAACCTAAGGCACTTGTGTCTCCTTACCCTACTAGTTCTCAAAATATTTTCCTGCCTCAATACAACTGAAAGATACAACCCAATCCTGTCAGAGTGATTTTTCACCTGGAGGCAGAATCTTAGCGTTTGGACTATATCTGGGGTTTGAAAAAGTTCTCCAGGTGATTCTGATACCCATCAAACCTACCTCATTTGACAATCAGTGCTTTATAGAGAATATCTCCACTAAATCAACAGCTCTTAGTCTTGAGCGAGGACTGACAAACATTTTCTATAATTGGCCAGATAACAGATATTATAGACTTTGTGGCCATACACTCTCTGTTCCAACTACTCAACTCTGTCACTGTAGCACAAAAACAGCCACAGACATTAAAAAAAAAAAAAAAAAAGCACAACTGTGTTCCAACAAAACTTCATTTAACAACAGTAAGTAGTGGGACAGATTTGGCCCAGGGGCCATACTTTGCTGACCTCTGATATTGAGGACTATCTAGAGCTTCTATTTTTACCTTTAGTGAACCCCTCCCCCCATTTAATACTGAAGTTACAGGGAAATAAAATATTTTAAGGGAAAGAGAAGTTAATCCCTCACTTAGCATGGCTGGTAAGAATAGAAATTATATATCATCTTCCTCCGGCCATTGCTGAGAGTGTGGAGGTGATATTCAGAAGCCCCAAGTTAGTACAAAACATCTTCCCACTCCTAATGTGTAGGAGTACAATCATTTTTGCCACAAAAATGTCCCTGGTCTCCACTTTCCAAACTCTCATCCAGCCTCAACATCTCAGAAGCCACACACCTCTGCTTTACCCCACTGTGGGCCACCCCTAGCTTTTACCACACTGCACGTCAGATGCCAAGGGTTACACACTTTGACACACCATTTTTATAAAGCCACCAACTCCTATTCAAAACCTACTCTGGGGGCCAGCCCCGTGGCTTAGTGGTTAAGTGCGCACACTCCACTGCTGGCGGCCCGGGTTCCGATCCCGGGCGCACGCCGACGCACCGCTTCTCCGGCCATGCTGAGGCTGCATCCCACATACAGCAACTAGAAGGTTGTGCAACTATAACATACAACTATCTACTGGGGCTTTGGGGGGAAAAATAAATAAATAAAATTATAAAATAAATAAATAAATAAATAAACAACAACAACAACAAAAAAAACCTACTCTGGAACAAATACTCATGGCAGAGAAGCCTCAGCACCACACAGAGGTTGCATCAGTGGGATGCTTCAGACAGGTTCAGACATTTTGAATACAAACATCATTGGCTCCTCAGCCAGAGTACTGAAAATACCTCTAACCCAGAGACCTTGAGTTTGAAATTGGGTTTTCTGCACCCCCGGACCAAAAGTCACAGCCCCACAAAAGACAAGAAGATAGACAGGAACCCAGAAGCTTCCCCACTGCTTACCTGCAGTGTGCTGAGAGAACAAAGGTGAGGCTCGGAAGCGCCTGAACCCACAGTGGAAGATCAGCTCCTCTTTAGCTTTCACAGGTTCAGTGTTGCCAGGGTGCCGGCTAACCACCATATTCAGTACTGACATCTGGGGACCAAGTAAGAAAAACAGAACTTCCTATCTAGGAGTAGAACAGGTAAACCTGAAAGAAGGCAAACCAAACTAAAAGATTCAGATTCACTCTAAGAACTGAAAATGCTAATTTATGGTGGAGTGCAGATGATGAGACACAGATTCTTCTTTTACCTCCACCAACAACTAGCATTCAAGCTGAATATAGGCTGGTTTTCAGTTTTCTTATACCCTTCTATACTAGCTGACCTTCCCATGTCTATATGCAAGAACTCAACATCTGCCACAAAGTTAGTGCCTTCAAGTCACTCACTCACCACACACTTCAAAACCACACTCATGAAAGCCCCTTCTTCCTCAATCCTTATACTGATTAAATGCCAGAGCTCTCACCTACACCCCAACGTACATGACTGCTGGCCACCAAGAGAAAAGAGATCTATCTATACCTTGGCATAAATGCTCTTTATTTTTAAGGCTGCCAACCCTTGGTTAAAATCTATCTGATAAACATACTTATCTCAGAGAAGTCTCAGAACCACACAGAGACTGCATCACTGAGATGCTTCAGACAGGTTCAGACATTTTGGGTAAAACCATCATTGACTTCTCTGTCATCCTCTCATTCCTAATGCTAAAGGCAGATTTTTCGCATCCCAATGAGCAAAATGTCAGTCAAAATTTTAGACTGTCAGACAAAACTGGTTTTAAATTTTCATAACTCCCTATTTCCCACAAGACACTGACTGACCTTCTGTTCATGAGGTAGTAAAGAAAATGCAATCAAGGGTGCTCCCCGTTTGACGTACTCAACCACTGAGACAGGTACTTCAGAAACATGAAGTGTGACATACCAGCCAACCTGCAGAAGAAAGCAGAAAACAATCACACAGTTACCCTTAAGGTCTCAATAATGATGAAGCATTTCTCTAAATACGTTAAAACTCTTATACTACCCTAAAGTCAACACTCACCCTTCAAAATTGCCTTTCACAGATGCCTCAACCACCCAGATTAAACTTTTTCAGAAACATCTCCGATACCTCTTTGTTCCCAATATCACTCTTGTCAATGACTCAGTGGCTCCTCTAACTCAGCTATGGGCAGCACAAAACTAAATAAGGTATTCGTGTCAACAGAAAGAGTAAAGGAGGGGGCACCTTGGCAAACAAAAGCAAATTGTAGGGATGGATAAAGGAAGGCAGATACCTCAGCTCCTTCAAGCTCTTTTTCCTCAATCTCTTTAAAGATGCGTCTCCTAGTACTAGTAAAGTTCTGAAACTGAAAGATTCGAGCATAGTCTTGAGGAAGGTTTTCCTTAGGATCCCATGGAGATGTCCGGAAGCTCTTGAGGCCTCTGTATTTCTGAAATCTAGAATATACATTTTAAATAAATTAATAGTCAAATTTATATGGTGCTACTTACCCTTTCACTCAAATCATTTCTAAAATGGCTAAGGCTGGGGCTGGCCCAGTGGCACAAGTGGTTAAGTGCACGTGCTCTGCTGTGGTGGCCCGGGGTTCGCCAGTTCGGATCCTGGCACGTACTGATACACTGCTTGTAAAGCCATGCTGTGGTGGCGTCCGATATAAAGTGGAGGAAGATGGGCAAGGATATTAGCCCAGGGCCAGTCTTCCTCAGCAAAAAAAAAAAA